TCCTTTCGGACACAGACCAACAATGGGAATTCCTTGGGGGGAGTGGATTTTTTGACTTTCAATCCCAGAAAACTGTTTGTTAGAAGTAACGGAATTCACAAGCCCTATTACACTTCAACATCTTCACAACACCTCTCCTTCCTTTTCTGGGAATTCAACACAAACTTATAGTCAGTAAATTCTGCAAGTGCTCTTGCTGCGTGAGGCCACATTGTGTCTTTCATTCTGCAATTAATGAAGAAAACACAAATTGCCCACTGAGACCCTTCTGCTCCCTTCCACATCACTACTCAAGAACAAGCCTCAGGCACATGCCCATAGTCCCTCTCTGCCAGCAGCTCCGAGCTGCATTGCACAGTGCTTGCTGTGCCCCAGAGAGCACCAAGCAGGCTGGCCTGGTGCCCCTGAATATTTCTGCAAAACCCTCTGCATTTCACACCTTTGCTCTGGCTCAGTGCAGAGCTCCAGGATTGCAGGCGCTTGGTCCCAGAGCTGTGTGAGGCACTGGCTGGTGCAGATGTGCCCTGACTTGCTGTCAGTGCCTCACGCTGGCCTCGGTTCCCCTGGCAGAAATGCCGTGCCTGAAGGACACTGCCCTGTGCTGGAGCCTGCGGAGCAGCCCGGCTCCCTCCCCCTGTGCCCAGAGTGCTGCACACACTGCTGACCATTGCCAGCAGTTCCAGGGCAGGCGGCAGAAGAGCAGGAATGGTCAGGCAGGGCACCAGCCCTGGGCTGCTGTTTGCCTTTCTCTCCTCCTGTGCAGACTCCAGACAGCCCATGGCACCAGTGTGTGCTGTGCCCAGCACGGCGCCGCTTCCCCTCAGGAGCAGCCAGCTGCCAGCTTGGCTCTGAGAGCGCAGGATTTGCCTGGTGCCAGCAAGAGGCAGCCAGGGCCAGGCTGCTGCCTCTTGCAGCTCCAAGGGCCTCCTTCCAGCCTGCCTCTGCCGAGGCTCAGGCTTCTCCGGGCTCTGCCAGGGCTCTGCTGGGGCTCCAGCCTGGCCAAGGCTGGGCCCGCTCTCACCTCACAGTCGCTGACAGCTCTGCACCACAGGAGACCTTGCACAGCACCCTCACTGCTCTTTCTGCTTTCTCTCTTCAGCCAGACTCTCCTCCAGCCAAGGAGATTGCACTTAGGGATACAAATCTAAGTGGCAGGAACCCAAATACTCTCGAGTCACATGTGCACAGCCTGCATCTGCACGGGATGTTTGCGTTGCACCGCTCCTCCTTTGGTTTTTCCTGCAAATGCCATTGCTGTTTCTGCCTCAAATAGAAATGCCAGAGCTGGGAAATACTTGTCCAGTTGGCCATATTCCAAAGGCAGTGTGGTCTGGAGAGGATGAATGAAGAGGAGCCTTCCCCACTTTGAAACCATACCAAAGAAGCCATCAATGTCACTTTCCACCTTGTCATGGGGTGACTATGATACTGGTATCCCCAATTGTCTGGTTTATGTTATATATTATGTTCTGCACCTTTAAGCCTGGCTCTGAGAGTGAAGGGGGGCAGAAGAAGCGCACAGCTTGTGTTGAAAGAAAACATCACTCCCCCGTATCCTGCTCCTGGACTGTGGTGTCTGCAGCACGGACAGACAGCGGGACAGAGCTTCTCTTTGGCTTTTAGTTAGTTTTAGCTAGCTGAGGCAGAGGAGTTCCCTGGACTTTTTTTTCCTTTTTTCTTGGATCTATGCAAACCTGCTCTGGACTGAAAAACACCCAGCCAAACCCCAGGAGCTCACGCCTGTGGCCCACTGGGACCTGGGCCTTGGCACTATCCTGCACCGGAGAGACTGATAAGAACCTGAGCAGGCCGAGCTACACCACATGAAAAGGACTTTTCTTCCTGGATTTGCCATTTCATCGAACAGTGAGAGGTTTTATTGTTTAATATTATTCAATTTCTTTAAATAAACAGTTTTTTTCCACTTCTCTCCAAAGAAATCTCTTTTTTCCTGAACCAGTTGGGGGGAGGGATTGTTTGGATTTTGCTTTCCTGGGGGAACCCCATTTAGAGGTTCTCTCCCAGATTTGCCCTAAACTAGGACAAATACAGTTCTTGGTGCCCAATGCATGGGTTGAGAAAGTGGAAAAACCTTTACAAATTACTGATTGTATTTTGGTTGTACTTATTATGTATTGGGATAAAGCATTCAGTAGCCATGTTGTTGGAATGCATAATGTCTCTCGGGGTGGAGGCCTTCATGTGCATCTGGTCCCTAGACTTTTTTGAGGTTTTAATACCTGTCTTCTGCCTTTTTTACAGTAGAGGGGCAGGGATTAGAATGGTTATTGTGCTGTGCTCGGTGATAATGATTTATAGGAAGTTCGTAAAAGTACTGAAGTTTCTGCCAGGTATGTTTGGTTCTGGGTGCGTAGCCATAACCAGAAGCATGCCAGTAACAACTCTTCTTCTATATTTTTTCATTGCATTGGTCAAATACATATTCATAACATTAATACATATTCAAACATTGCTCTGAACTCGTTTACATGTTCCAGGAATTCTTTACCTTGGTTTGACCCCTGACCTGCCTTTTTAGAGTAGGAGCAGTAATTGTGGATTGTTGTTTTGAGGGTTGTGTGTGACTCCCCCACAATGGCCCCGTTCCGTGCTTGCAGCAGGAGACAGGTACTGATAGCCCAAGGGTCAGTGGCAGGGGTCCTTATCACATCTGTTCCTTAAATGTTATCTGACCATGCAGACAGTTTTAGCTACTTCCACAAGTACTTTATATCAACATCAGCTATTTCAGAAATATATCTGAGTTATTCTCATTATTGCCAGTTAGTTACAAAAATAAAAGCATTTGTTGTTATATCACAGCTACTTCTGCCAAAGGTAACATTATATTGCACAACACATAGCATCCACTTAAATATATAATGAAAGCCAAAACTATAATATATGTTTATCACACTCTCCACAAACTAAAATATCATCCATAAATGATGTCCTGAGAATATGAGCTACACAGGGGCCAGGGCATTGGCCACAAAAAACTGACAAATTCTACTGTATCAAAAGCAGCTAAAAGTGATTACAAACTGTGCTATATCAAAATCGTTGTGATTATAATAATTTGCAAACTCCAACACATAATAGCAAAGGTCAACAACAACATAGTTATTTATCACAAACACAGGGCAGGTTTTTCCCTTGCATGGAGCACTTGGGCCTTCCCCGGGCCCCTTCTGCCCTCCCGCAGAACCAGAGGCATTTTCCAGCGCACACAGTTTGTAAGCAAGAGCCGGCTGCAGCCCAGAAGGCTCCAAGCGCCTCCTTCCAGGCTGACTCTGCAGATGCCGAGGCTGCTCTGGGCTCTGCCAGGCTCTGCTGGGGCTCAGCTCTGGGCGAGGCTGGGCCCGCTCTCCCCTCGCAGTGCTCCGGGCAGCTGAGTCACAGCGGGAGAAGGACAGGACACCTCAAGGGACTTGAGGTTTAAGAGAGATTTTATTCAAATAACTGCCAGAACAAACAGGCTGTCCTAACTACCCTAACTAACTAGCAGTGCTAGCTACCATAACTAACTACTTGTCTTAACTACTATAACAAAAAGATGGCATCAAGGGCTTCATCTCCTCCTCCGCTGGCTCCCTCAGTTGCTTTGCTGCAGTGATCAGAGGGGTCAGGCTGGAGAGAGGCTTGGCTGATGACAAAAATGGGTGCTGCCCAAGGGATAAAAAAGAAAGAAATGAACTGTTACTTTCCAGACTCAAGTTCCTCACAGGCTCTGTTGCAACAGGACAAAGGGGAATGGTTTGAAAGTCAAGAGAGGGAAGCAGGCTCAGATTAGATCTAAAGAAGAATTGCTGTAGCAGGAGAGTGGGGAAACACTGACAGAGGGAGCCCAGAGATGCGGGAGGTGCCTCCTCCCTGGAAACATCCAGGCTCAGGTCAGGCAGGGCTCTGAGCCACCTGATGTGCTTGAAGATGTCCCCGCTCGTGGCGAGGCACCAGGTCCAGATGAGCTCGACAGGAGCCTGCCAAGCCAAAGCAGGCGAGGATTCTGCTTGCTTTGCGTGTGAAAGGCAGCGGGACTGGAGATGATGGGAGGGGGGCCCCACAAGAAAAGCCCTCCCTGGCGCTGCCGTTTCCCCCGCAGCCGCTTGGCATTCACCTGCAGCAGCTCCTGGGCAGAGAAGCGCCGCTCCTCGTCCGGCTCCAGGCTGCACTCGAGGAAGTCCCGCAGCAGAGCCGACAGGCGCCTGGGCTCCTGCAGCTGCGGGGTCCCGTTCTGCCGGATCAGAGCGCGGGCCTGCAGGGAAAGCAAACACAGCGCTCTGACAGCTTCCTCCACACCCACAAGTGCTCACATCCAGCCCGCTTTCTCTGCCCCAGCTCCCCGGGCACTTTCCTCCCTGGCAGAGATGCTGCTGCTCACAGCTCATTCTTCTGGGCCAGCCAAAAAACCCAAACCCTGGTGCAGCCACAGCCATTGCAACATCCAAATGATCTTGCCTTCAGAGCCCATTGCATTGGCTGACTTTGTCAGTAGGAACCTCCATCAGAAATAGCCCATTTTGCTTCTCCAAATACAGACACCATATTTACAGGCCATTTTCAAGAGTCAGTGTGGTTTGCCTGTGTTATTTCAAAGGATTCTTACATCAAATGCATCTCTGCAGTGCCACTGACACTCAAGTAAAAGCATTCCTGATGCCCCATGCCAGAAACTGCCAGGCAAGGAACAGCAGGTTTGTGTGGCTGAAAGCTCAGGCTTGGTGACACAGAGAAAGTAGCTTGGACTAGGAAAGAAATATGTTAGACTGTGGGGATGTTAAACAATCATCTTCATGTTGTAGACAAGTTTCCCAGTGAGAAGAGCCAGGGGGGAGTTCATCTCACAAAACCTCTTTTAGAAACTCCTTCAGAAAACTTGTTGGGTTTGGGTGTTGGGGTTGGTTTGGGGTTTTCTGCAAGACAACATTAGAGCTGATGCACTTGCTTCATGTATTTGGGTCATCCTCACAAGAGCTGCAACAACTTAAATCCCAAAGCAAATTGTTGCTGGAGACTGCAGAATATTTGTCTGTGTTCAGGCTCAGGTGCTGTGGGAATTCCCTTCGCGATGTGCAGAAACCTCCAGCTGCTCCTCCCAGTGCAGGGTCACCCTGTGCTCACAGGCCTCTGCAAAGCCTGGAGAATTTGCCTCTTACCATGGCCCCCGTTTGCTGGAAGTAAGGAGGTTCTCCTTCCACCATCTCGATGGTCACAATGCCAAAGGACCAGATGTCCACCTTGGGGCCGTAAGGAGAACTGGTCACAACTTCTGGGGCCATCCAGTGAGCAGTGCCCACCATGGAGCTGCACTGGTCCTGCTCAGGGCTGAGCTGAGCGCAGAGGCCAAAATCAGCTGAGGACAGAAACAAGCACTGTCAAAGGCAGCTGCAATGAGGAAACCAAGCACAAAGATTCCCCACTCTCAGTCTGAGAATGCAGTGCTGAATCCAGCTGGAAAAGTCCTCAGGGCTGTAGGCAAGGAAAGATGGAACTGGACCCTTAAAGAAGCCCTCAGCTTTCATGCTTGGCTTTTACTGATTTCCTTTGAAGCTTTAGATTGCAACTCCTGCCCCTCTGGGAGGGCCATACCCAGAGCAAAGGCACTCCTGACACCCTGCTCCTCTCCTGAGCTCTCTGCACGGGGCAGCCGCTCTCAGCTGGCAGCAGGGGCCGGGCAGTGCCACCAGCAGCACTTGTGGGGCTCTGGCCCTCACTGGGAAGCAGCCCCACAGCCGCACCCCGGGAGCGCCGTGCCTGGCCAGGAACACCCACCCAGCTTGACAGAGCCGTCCATTCCCAGAAGGATGTTGGAGCTCTTCAGATCTCGGTGGATCACCCGGTTGGAATGGAGGAAATCCAGGCCCTGCAGACACTGAGAGACAACAAGAAACACGAGGGAAAAAATCAGTGGCTGGAATATATCACACAAGAAAGGACAGTTTAGAATTCTGCCAGCAGCAACTTTGCTCTGACAGCCCAGGAGTGCAGTGCAGACAGGCTCCAGGCAAAAGGTTCAAGGCAATGCTGAGAACAGCAAATCAAATCCAGAAAAGACAGAGAGTACCACAACAGCAGGAAAGGAGACAAGAACAGAGTAGAAATGCAGTGATATTTGCAGGCCATTCACTTCAGAGGCTCTTTCCTCTCCAGCTCATAAAAACATCACAGAAACAAAGGCCTGAGCATGGAGCCACTCTGTTCTCACAGCCTCTTTGGAAGGACCATGGTGTCCCAGCCATGGGAAGCACAAGCAGGATCCCTCACCTCCTGACTGACAGCTGCCATCTCTCCTTCAGCCATGCGTGTCTGTCTGACAACGTCCTGCAAAGTTCCTCCATCCATGTATTCCATCACCAGCCAGAGATCTCCATCAACAAGGAAGCTGGAAGAGGAAAACAATGGCACAGAGATGAATGTGCATTGCTCAATTCCCCCAGGGAAAAGCCTGGACTGGAGTTTTGTTCCCAGGTCACTTGTCAATGAGGACAGAATCAGATGGAGAGACATTCCTGCCAGGCTGCACAGGCCTTGGAATCTGCACAGTCTAAAGGAGAAGGAGGCACCCGGGAGAAAGGAGAGGCCTTAGATGGCAAGCAGGTGAAAAATGCACTTTAGCAACAGCCCAGCTCAATGTGGAACCACAACACTTGCCCCCAGCTGCTTCAGCATCTGAACTCATCAGTTCCACCATTCCCTCTGGAACAAGGCAACACAACTTCCAGAGTTATCCAGGGGAGGAGGCTGTGCAGCACTTGGGGCAAAAGCAGTCAAATGCTTGGAAAACCTTGCACAAAGTCCCTTCAGAAATAGGCAAGGCCATTGAAAAATGGGCAAATGAGGCATTTCTGGAAACAAGAACCTGGTCTTCCAGGCACCTGCAGCAATGGGAAAGGGCTGGGAAGAAGAAGCCAAGGAAAATAATTTCTACCAGGGTTTATCAGCACTTGCTGTAAAACACAGCAAATGGGGTCAACTTGAAGAAAAAGCCAAAGCAAAGCAACAAAAGCACATGGAAGGAGTGAACTGCCAGGCTGCTGTTCTGGGAAGATATGGCCAGGTCAGGCATTTTCAGAACAGGCTACAGACCAGGGATGCCAGGAAAGATGAACGCAGGGCCCGTGCACGGGAGAAGACCTGAAGCACTCACCTGTCCAAAGAGTTGACAATGTTGGGGTTCTTCTTGTCCTTCAGGACCACGACCTCATTCACAGCTCGTTCCCTGTTCTGCCCTCTGAGACTCATTTTCTTGATGGCCACCTGAAGGGACATTGCAGACCTTTCACTGGAGGAGTCTGTGGCAGGAGGCCACAGCAAACACGGAGCGAGTCTTTTTGGAGCGACCGAGCCGGGCTGTGCCAAACTGCCTTGGGATGGGACACCAGAGCTCAGCAAGTGCCATTCCCACAGCCCATTGCTCTGCTCGCTGGGGGCTGTTACAGGACTCATGGCCAGAGACATTTGGCTCTGTAAGCTCTGCAGAAATGGTGCCTCAGCTGTCAGCCTCAAAGCTCTAACAACATTCTCTGCACCTACAGCCTTCTCAAATGGCTTCAACACTCTTAGGATTATTATTCTGGCACATTTTGCAAGCAGGAGGTAATTCTGTTTCTGTGCACACAGAGCAAAACAGCCGGGAACCCTTTAGCAATTCTATGGCAGTTGGCCAGGATTTCAAATGTCCCTGGTCTGTTTGGGATAGCACAACAAAGCAAACGTGCACATCCATTGCTCAGATAATCCCTGTCACAGCTGCCACTGACACCAGACCCAAACACAGCTGCAGGGTTTAGGAGAGAGCTTTGCTCTGGACATCCATCTTCTCATTTCTCTCCCTGTCTCTGTGGGAACAGCTGCAGTAGGACTAAAACCCCAAACTGAGCCCAAGCAGGATCTCTCCTTAATTAGGCCTTGAGATACCTTTTGAATATGAAACTCAGGATGATAAAACTGCTAAATAGTGTTCCTGTCCGAGGCTGGGATGAAGGTAAATTGGGCCTCAGTCTCCACCAGCTGATGCATTCACACTTTTAGACATGAAGACCAAGCCAGTGTGTCCTGCTCTGACAGACACCGCTGCCCTCCTTGCCTTCCTTTGGGCACTTGAGAAGGACCAAGTCTGTCCCAGCTGTGCTCTGCAGGCTGACCCTGCTCTGCCTTCAGAGGAGCAGCCTGTGCAGGAAAGCTCTGCTGGGCCCCACAGCTCCAGCCACAGCTCCCAGCAGAGGGGAAAGCCCTCGAGAGCTGCCAGACGTGCTGGGCGTGTTGACACTGACCTCTCCTCCAGTGGCCCTGTCGAGTCCTTTGGAAACGGTTCCAAAAGCCCTGGAGACAAAACAGCAGAGAAGAAAGAAGCAGAGCTTTAGGCCCTGGCAGTGAAAGCCAGCCCAGACAGGAGATCTCTGCTGCCTGCAGCGTTCACAAAACACCCGAGTGCATCCACCCTTCAAACAACAGCACAGCAGCCACCAGCCCTCTGCCATGCAAGGTGTGCAAGAGAAAACTGAGGCCCAACACAAAGGAAAAGGGCTGGAGGAAATCCCAAATGTCCACACTGAATTCCTTCAGTTCAAAACCTGAGGTGGGGGGAGGTGGGTGTCTGAAGAACTGGAAAAGAATGTATTTCATCCTTTATATATTTCCTGCCTGAGACCTGCAGGATCCCCAAGGGCCCTGCCAGCAGGCAGGTGATGCATTTTCCCCTCGAGTGCAGCAGCTCTGTGTCTGTTACTGAATGTATGGGGTCTGCTACCTGTGCTGAAAAGAGCTCTTATTAGTTCATATCTGGTTTCTGTTTCTAAACCATTATGTTGATAATCCTGACTGATGCATAGTTTTGAAACAAAGTATTTGAAAGAAATCTTCCTGAGAACTGTTTTCTGACAGTCACAGTCACCACATGGTGAGTTGCTCTTTTAGGCAATCCAATTCCAGGGACAGAAGATCTTCCAGGTCCCACTCCTTGCTGCAGACAGGGCACTGCCAGCCTTAGGGGCCTTTGACGGTGCCTTCTGACCACAGTTATCAATTCTGATCAGCATTGAGAGACAGCAGCATCGTACCCCACTGTCTGAAGGGGTTTGGAGCTCTCCTGACTTCTCACTGGATCCTGCACCAGCAAAATACCTGGGCCCTGCTTGTGCAGAAGTAACTGCCTTGCACTTACCCTTGGCCAATCTGCTCCAGTTCCAGGTATTTCTCGGCAGGCTCCCCCACGCTCACGGTGTTCCCTGAAAGAAACCACGTGGAAGATGCTCCCTCTCAGATGAGAGCCAGAATGCAGCCCCACTCCCTGGGGCCGGGAGCCCCTTGCTCTCAGCTGGGGAAGGACAATAAATGACCCTGTGCCATTCAGCTGCAGAGCAACCCTGGGTGCAGCTGATGCTGAGACACACACACAGCACCCTGCTCTGGCACACAGGAACAGAGCAGACGTACTCAGCTGCATCAGGCTCCACTCCCCGCTCCCCTCTGGCTGCAGGGCTGTGCTGCTGTCAGAATGTTCAGCCCAGGATCCTGCAGCACAGGGAGCTTCGATGTCCTCTTCAGGAGCAGAGGGAGGTTCCTTGTCCTCTTCCCAAAGCAGTGCAGCTTCTCTGTCCTCTTCCCAAAATGCTGCAGGTTCACCCTCCTCTTCCCAAGCCACAGGATGCCCTCTGTCCTCATCCCATACCGGGAGATTTCCGTCATCCTCGTCCCATGCCATGGGAGCTTGGCCATTCTCATCCCACTCCAGGGGACATCCACCATCCTCATCCCACACTGGGAGATGTCCACTGTCCTTGTCACACACCGCGGGAGCCTCGCCGTTGTATTCCCAAACCGCGGGGTGTTCGCCCTCGTCTCCCAGAACAGCGGGAAGTTCACTGCTCTCTTCCTCCTCTTTGGCCTCCTCTTTGCAAGCAGAGGGAGCCAGAGGAGGTGCTGATGCTGCTTTGGTGCCCTGTGGACAGACGGGAGCGTGAGGGACGGGAAGTTCTATCTCAGTTATCACCTTCTTTATCCTCAGCTACACATCCAGCTGCACTAAGCAGAAATAGGGTTCAGAGCTGTTCAAACTAACAATGGGCTAAAGTCAACATTGCCACTTATTGTTGGGAATTCCATTTTCCACCATGGCTAAAGCCAGCAAGCAATCTTCTGCCTGCAAAACCAGTCCTGCAGCTCTTCAAAAGCTCTTCAGCAGAAACAGAGAAAACTGCCAGGGATCTCTTTGCTGCTGCTGCTGCTGCTGCAAAGACACTGACAGGAACTTTCCTTCAGCCTCCCAGGCTGGCACTCGGCTGCCACACGCCGAGCTCACAACTTGCTGCACAATTCTGAACACCAAAGCTTCCTTTCCCACTCACCGAAGGAGGAGCTGCTCGGGATCCACGCGTGAGGTGCCCTGCAACGGGAGAGGGAACGTGAACCAGATGTTGTTAGGAAAAAACTGCCTGTGGTGGGAAATGAGCAAGGCAACCCCGAGAGAGCATTTTGCTTTCACAGCATCCCTCCAGGAGCCACAGGCCCTTCACACAGCAAGCAAGAGAGCAGCACAAAACACTGGGCTGTGTCAGCTCTTGGCTGGAGCAGCAAACGGAGGGAGTTCCAGGCTCCGCTGCCACAGACTCCCCGCTTGAGGGAACAGAACCCCCCCAGGCCTCATTGCAAATGCTGTGCACGCCCCGCTGGCTGCAGACACCCCCTTTTTCAGCTGCAGCTGCTGGCAGGAGCTCTCCCAAACCAACCGTGTCCTCATGGCAATTTGGTTACAGAGTCAACTCCGTTCCAGTGGAAGAACAGAAAGCACACAGCAAGCCCAAAGCCACAGATGCTGCACCGAGGGAAAACCTCAACTTACGTGCCAAGTGGGTTAAAAAATACCCCGAATAAGCCACAGAGAACAGAGTGCCAACTGCAGCAACCACTTGCTGCATCATTTTGGCTGCGCTGCACACGTCTGCAGACTGTACCCCTGCAAGCACAGAAGGACACCCGTCAGGGGCTGGGCTGGCTGCTGAGAATGCCTCGGGCAGGAGGATCCTCTGGCAACGAGCAGGCGCCCAGAGCCGCTCTGGACACTGAGGCCTCCGTGTCCCACAGCAACGGGAACACCACGGGGACGTGGCAACGTTCCTGTGACACCACAGCAGCCGCTCACGCAAAAACCGCCTGGAAGCTTCTCCTGTGTCACAAAGGAGCACAAAGAATCCTTCCAGGGCACAGCTATTGCCCAAAGGATCCAAGAGGAACTCTGAAAATGCAGCAAACAAGGACACCCCATAGGCCAGCCTGAGCACTGAGGAGAAATGAGGACAGGACCAAACCAAAGCAAACACGACCTGTAGTCACTGACACTGCTGAATAAAACCAGCAAGGCTTGTTCCATCTGGAATCTTTGTTGCAGTTCTAAAAACAAGCAAGGTTCTCCACGCTAAATATACAGAAGGCAGGAACTGGGGAGGAGGTGCGATTAGGAAGGAGGAGGAGCAGGAGGAGGGAGAAAGGAAAAGGAGGAGCAAGAACAGGAATAGAAGGAGAAGCTGGAGGTTCCAGTGCCCCCTGTGTCCGCAGCACCCCCGGCCACGGGCCCATCGCCCCCACCTCATCCTGCAGGTGAGCAGGGAGGGGGAGCTCGTCCCAAATCCGTCTGGGGGTTCCTGAGAGTCTTTTTATTGGGGTGTGTTTGGAACTTGCAGATTGAGGAATTGAGCCCCAAATATTGTCTGGCGTCCCTGGGAGGTTTTTTTTCTCTGTGTGTGTAGGTTTGGATCTTGCAGGACCCCAAAGCTGAGCCCCTTGGGGGATCTTTGGGGTCCACGTGGCCATTGCCCAGTATTGGCTGGGGGAGGACATTGGTCCTGGGGACCCCCGGGAGAGCAGGGGAGAGGAACCCCTGGGACCCCCAGAGTGGGGAGAGCAGAGAGGGGCAATCCCGAAGCTGGGGGACCCTGGCAGCTTGAAGAGGTGGGAGCCTGGAGAGGAGACACTCCTGGGATCCCTGGGATCTCAAAGCAGAGCATCAGGGGAGAAGAGACCCCATGGACCCCAAAAAGCCCCTGGATCATCGCTAAGGAGGACCCCAGAGAAGGGGGAACCCCTGGAGCCCTTGGACCCTTATCATCCCAGGGAATTGAAACCTCTGGAAGCCCAAAAGTGGAAAGACGAGAGATGGGGAACTCCTGGGGGATTTTTTGGGGGTTGAATCTTGATATTTTGGAGACTATCATGGGTACAAGACTCCTGCTGAGCTCTAGACATGGACTTGGGCAGCAGGAGCCTCTACTCCAAGGCACTCCCACTTTGGTTTCCCCCAAACCAGGATTTGTCATTCCCAAGCCATGGCCAGATGGAGGAGGAGGAAAAGCCCCGGAGATCCTGCATGAGGAGGGGCTGCAAACCCAGCCCAGGGAGCTGCAAGGAGGAAAGATCCCCCCTGTGCCAGGAAGGTGGCCAGAGAGATCCTGCCGGAGCTCAGAGCTGGGGGAGAGAGCTCATGGCAGGGAGAAGCCCCACAAATGCTTGGAATGTGGGAAGAGCTTCAGCTGGAGCTTCAAGCTGAGGGAACACCAGAGGATCCATCCTGGGGAATGGCTCTGGGAGTGTGGGGAGTGTGGGAAGGGCTTCAAGAATAGCTCCCATCTGATCTGGCACCAGGTGATTCACACTGGGGAGAGCCCCTAGGAGTATGGGGAGTGTGGGAATAGATTCAGGAAGATCTCTGTCCTGATTAACCACCATAGGATGCACACAGGGGAAAAGCCTGGAAAGTGCTTGGAATGTGGGAAGAGCTTCAATTGCAGCTCCCACCTGATCTGGCACCAGAACATCCACACAGGAGAATGCCCCAGCGAGTGTGGGGAATATGGGAAGAGCTTCATTGAGATGTCCAATCTGATTTGTCACCAGAAGATCCACACAGGGGAAAAGCCCTACATGTGTGGGGAGTGTGTAGAGGGCTTCAGCTGGAGCTCCAACCTTGGGGCACACCAGTGCATCCTGAGTGTGGGAAGGGATTTCCAAGGAGCTCAGGTCTCATCAAACATCAGCGGATTCACACAGAGGAGAGGCTCTTCTTTCCGCTGCCCTGACTGGAAGGGCTTCACAAAACTGCACCCTCATCAGGCACCGGCGCATCCACACTGGGGAGAGGCCCTACAAGTGTCCCCAGTGTGGGAAGAGCTTCTCCACCAGTTCTCACTTGACCCAACACCAACGGAGGCACCAGTAAGGGAAGCCCTGCGAGTGCCCTGAGTGTGGGAAGAGCTTTGTGTGCTGCTCCAGCTCCATCCCCCATGGGAGGATCGGCGTTGGATGATCCCCAGTGACCCCCGTTGGGCAGAGCCCTGGTGATCCGTGGTCCTGGTGGTCTGTGTTGGGAAGACACCTGGCTGGGAGGCTTCCACAATGTGCTTCCAGTGTGTAAGCACATTGGTGAACACAGGGGCAGAACATCCATCTGGACACAGACTAACAGTGGGAATTTGCAGATTGACTGCCCCTGGGGATTCACCGGGATGCAGAGGTACACCCACAGCCCCTGGAGAAGCCTATGCTGGAGCAGGGGAATGCCTGAGATGAGGCTGTGACTTTGTGGGACACCTGTGGAGAAAGGATATCCCACTGGAGCCGTCTGTCCTGGATGGGCTGACCCCGTGGCAGAGTGACGCACACTGCAACACTGTGAGGGGGCTGTTCCCCATGGGATGGACTCAGGTTGGAGAAGTTCCAGGAGACCTCTCTGGTGGGAGAGATCCGAGTGCAGCAGGGGAATGACTCCTGTCCCTGAGAAGCGAGAAAAGCCACGGAATATGAACTGACCATGGCTCCATCCCGGCTGGCGGAGCCTTGGAGCTGCCGTGGGGGCCGTGGGGCTGCCCCGGGGGCTGCGCCCTGAGCCGGGGCCCCTTCCCAGTGCTCCCAGTGTGCCGATCCAGCCTGGAGCAGCCAGCGAGGGCTTCAGCTGGGATGGCAGAGAGGCGCTGCTGGGGGGTCCCGGCTCACTTCGCTTTGGTTGGCTCTTCCCAACCTGGGGACAAACGATTTTGGGAGTTTTGTGCAAGAAATCTCTCCTCCATTCAGCAGAAGGGGTTTGTGGCGGTGTTCTATTTTTGGGGGAGGGAAATCTGAGTGATGCACTGATGCTCCTAATTAGACATGGGAGAAGTGAGGCTCCAGGGCTTCCCGCTGACCCGGAGCCACCCAGCAGCCAGGGCTGGGCAAGGCGGGCCGGGAGGTGCGGAGAACTTTGTTTGTGTTGGGAGCTCAATGGCGGCTCGGGCCGGGCCCGTTCCAGGGCTGTTCCTCATCCCCGCCTTTCCCCTCACGCAGCCCGGGGCGGGCCCTGAGAGCGCGGGGCGGGGCTGTGCCGTGTGCAGAGCCCGCCGCTGGCTGCGATTGGCTGCTTCTGCCGTCACTCGTGGTTCTGGCGCGCGCTGATTGGGCAGAGCGGGGACAAGCCCGGCCCCGCTGGCGCCCCCAGGGCGGCCGTGGGGCAGGAGAGCCGCCATTGCCGGAGCGTCTGTGCGGGCCCGGCAGCGGCGGCAGCAGCGGCCGGAGCCCGGTGAGGCGGCGGCGGAGCTCGGAGGCGGCCCCGGCCATCGCAGGTGGGAGCCGCGCTCGGTTCTGCGGGGGCTCGGGGCTCGCTGCGGGCCCGGGAGGGGGCGGCAGGGGGCTGTGGCGGGTGGCTTGTGCCGTGGCCGGCCCGTGTTGGCCCTGGGCTGAGGGCGCTGCGGGAGCGGCTGCCCGCGGTCTCCTTGCCGCTGGGGCCTCGGCAGGAGGCGGTGGCGGAGCAGCGCTGGCTCGTCCCGCTTCGTGTCGGGAGGCCGGAGGTGGCTGCGCTGTGCCCGGGGCTGGGCGGGAAAATTCCCGGCGCCAGAGGTTTGTGTGGCCAAAGGAGGCAGAGGAGTGGTGTGCGAGTGACTTTATTGCTGCCCAAAGGGAGAGGCCATGGGGCATTTGCCATGCGCTCTCTCCAGGTGTTGGAGGACGCGGCCTCGTTTTTGTCCTGATTTTCCCGGCCGCATGTCCCTGTCCCTTTGCCCAACACTGGCGGAGGTGCTTGGAAGGTTCAGCCTTCCCGATCCGCCTGCTGCATGTCCTTTTTGTATAACACCCGATATTCCTGGCTCTGTGAAGTGTTTGTTCTTCTGGAAGTTCAGGAATATATCGACATTTAGTCTGAGCAGCAGTCCTTATCAATTAGTAACATTTTCTGAAACTGGTGATTTCTCCCATTACTTCCTTATATACAAGTCCCTGGCTCTATCTCCAAGCAGATTCACTCATTGCCTCTGTTTTTTCTTCCTGGTTCTTCTTTGGTTTTGGGATTGCTGTCAGTGCCCTCATTCTCTGTCCTTTTGTAGCCATTTGTGGCTCAGGAGGCCTGGCTGCCACCTGCATCCCCTTGCTCAGCTGCTGAATGAGCTGCACTCAGCAAGGTGTGGTGCATGGTAAAAAGATGAGAGTTGCTGTAGCACATGAGAGGAGAAACAGCATTCATTTCAGCCATGGTCTACCAGGGAACCACAAAACTGTCCTATTCCCATCCTTTCCATGTTTGGACTGGTACATGAGCTGTTTTCTTATTTCCTTTTTTATCTGTTTCTGCACCTTTTCCTTGCTGATCTGTTTGCCATCAGCAGTTTGAATCATTTAACTTTCCCCAAACCTCTTCTTTTTCTGTTAATAGATAATCTGATCCCATCCCATGGTGAAATGTTGTGTTCCTCATCTGAGTGGATTGGTTGGGGGGAAGGTCAGGAGCTGGAGCTGTCTGGTTGGTTATTATTTCAATGACATCCTGTAATCTAATTATCCCATTGAAATGAGAAATGGTTTCTCTGGTACCTGATATGAATTCATCAGGGTTCCCAGGGTCTGGTCCATGGTGTTGCAGGATTTGTTCTGGTGGCCGTTCATCTTTTCCCCATTTTTGGGGTGCTCCCTCCAGCCAGGGCTGCATCAATTGTCAGCTTTTCTCTCATGAAATCATCACATACTTGGATTCCCAACTGATTTCCCTGAACTAGTGGTAGCAAATAAACCCACAAATGGTCTGATACACCCTATATAACATAGACAGTGACAGCACATGTTGGAGTGGGGACAGAGATGATTCCTCCCCACTTGTTTTAGTGAAGTTTTCACAACATTCTCCATTTTCTGTTTTCCTTTGCAGCTTAACCAATTTCTGTTGCAGAGTCAGATACCTTCACTCTGGGCTCTGCCTTTATCTGTGCAAATTCCATCTGTGCAAGCAGGCAGAGCTTGGGCTGAGGGGCAGAGGGAATCAGCCCAATTCCTCCTGCAGGCAGGAAGCCCCATGTCCATTGTGCAGGCTTTGGGCCATCAGTGTTAATTTGCATTTCTAAAGCTCCTCTCCTTGGCTGCCTTCCAGGGAGGCCATGTGATGACTCACAAATGAGCACTCCAAAATTTACTTTTTTGAAGAAACAATATCATATTATGTTTTTACATGTTAAAGGATCACCCTTAAACCTCTTGGTTTTTAAAAATGAAGTACAAAGGTGAACATAGAAAAACCCCTATTAAAATTTTGCCATCATAACAGCCACGCACACACATACCCAAAATATCCAAAGCAATAAAGATTTTTTCTACTTCTTGCCTTAAGACTAAAAACTGATTCTCACACCACTGGCCTAGCACTACTCGTCTAATGAAGAATATAGCGGTACAAATATTAAGAAGAAGCATTCTAATGGTGTAGTCTTGTCACCAAAACTGCGCGATGAACCAAAACTCTCCAACAATAGAAAATCAAGGCATGACTTGATTCTAGAAAATCAAGGCATGACTTGATTCTGGCCAGGATGCCAGAAATCATTAAATCCACACTTAGGCTGTGTGTGCAGAGAAAATCATTCCATGACACATGAATTTACTAGATGTCTCCTAAACTTTATACAGTCTGACCCCATAGAAATCCCTTGGTTTAATGTTCATTGGTTTCAAGGTGTGGAGTTGTTAGGATTTGGTTTCCTGTTGCACCCGGATTTCTGTGCCTGTGATGTGAATTAGGTGGGCACTCCTGGATTTCCTGCTCAGCCTTTTCCAGACCAGGTGTCTCCAGCTGTGCCTGGGGCAGTGTCTGGGGGAGATGTTGGTTGATGTTTGCTGCTGGGTGTTGATGTTTTGTTGATGGTCGTTATCTTGGTGGGAATCTTTTGGGCTATTCCCAGTGTGTTGAGATGTTAATTTCATCTCTGCTGAGTGGTGGAACATCCCTTAAAAGAAATATATTTAAATTCCTTTCTCCACGGCAAAGGCAAACCAAGCCTGTCCAGAGAAATAAGATTTTTAAGAAATTGACACTTGTTATATTTTGCCAGAAGGGAATCCCAGGCAGGGCAGAGTGTGAGTGGAATTGAGAGGCAGAGTGGAATTGTCCCGGTGCCTTCCCCAGCAGCTGTGGCGAGGGCAGGCACAGAAAGGCCTGAAGCTGCAAGAGTGAGAGCAAGGATTGTCCCGCAGTGGCTGGAGATGGCAAAGGAGGGTGCCCAGGCCGAGGATTTGAGCAGAGGATCTGTGGGCAGGCCCAGGGGCTTCCCCCGCTGGGGAGCCCTGGCTGCTGCTGCGTTGCCTTCAGTGCAGGCTCAGGGGTGGCCTGTTTAATATTCCCTTCCAATTCAGATTTCTGAGTCTGGAAGAGCCATGGCTGGGGCATCAATCATTTTATTTTTTTCATTTTGTTAAGTTTTGTTCTCTCTCTTATGTCCACCCCATAACATTGAGGCTATCTGGGGGTAAAAAATTCACACAATGTTCTGGCTAGAAGAGAGAATCCTCAATCCAGGTCCCGCAATTCCCTGTTAATTGTAAGAATTATTCCAGCTCCATTTTAGTCCCAGGAAATGTTATGTCTGAGATTCCCTGGGCCCTCTCAGAGTCAATACACCACAAGCCTTCAGTCAAAATAGGTCTCAAAATATTTAACCATTTTCTCCACTATTTGCACTTTTTTTTCAGATACTCAAAGCTGCTTTTTAGCCTGAAAATGAAGCCATTTCACAGAGGCTTCCTCTACCTCTTCTCCTTGTCCTCCTGACTGGATCAAGTCATCCACATCCTGCATTAAGCCAGTCCCTGGGGGTGAGGTCAATTCCTTTGATATTTCCTGCAAGGCTTGCCCCAATCAGGCCGGTGCTTCCGTGCATCCCTGCAGAAGGACCGTCCATGTCTTGAGCATTTTCCCTTCTACCTCTTGTTGCCAGCCCAAGGCAGAATTGTGTTTGCATCCTCTGGAAGTGGGCAGATCCCCAGAAAGCATCTTTTGCATCAAGTTCTGAATGGCAGCAGTGTGAGGAGGGCACCTGGTTCAGGATGGTGTAAGGATCTGAGCCTGTGGGGTGCCTCGGTTTCATCATCTCATTTCTTCTTCTTGGGTCCTGCAGCATTCTGTGGATTCCATTGGATTTCTTGTTTGGCAGGATAGGAGCATTCTAGGGAGCCATCCCTGGCTCCCAAAGCCGTGCCTTGAGCAGGACTCACAGACAGGCTGTGAGCCCTTCCTTCCCTCCCTTGGAACAGGGGATTGCTTTTCGACACCTCTTGTCCTGGTTGCTTCAGGGAAATTTGGAGAGGCTCCATATCTAATTTTGCCAATTTCCCTGGGGCTGCCCACACTTGTGGGTTCACTTCAGCCTAGGCTCTGCCAGACATTTGACACAGAGGTACAACAGAACCAGCCTCTGTATCACCTTTTGCAACATTAATTTGCATTCCCAATTTAGCCATCAAATCCCTTCCCAGTAAATTACAATCACAATTGTGAGCAAATAAAAATTCCTGCATTTAGACACATCCCCCACATTGGTTAATAGTGGCTGAATAAAACACACCTGCTCATGTTTCTCAGTTATTGCCTTAATTATTAAGATATTCCATAATAATTTACCCCCTTTAGGTGTAAGATTCTGAGTGGATGGAGAGGCCCCTGTGTCCATCAGGAAAGGTCTCCTCTGGATCCAGAGCCACCCTGAATGTTCCCAAGGGCTGCAGTGTGGTGGGTCCCTGGTGGAATGGGAGCTGTGCCACCGCTAAGAATCCGTGTCCATCAAGGGCTGGACTTGCTCGTGCTGAGGGTGCTCCTGTCTGTGCTTGCAGTGTCCTTGTGCCCTGCAGCTGGAAGGCTGATTCCTTGCCAGGGGCTGTTTGGGTGGGCTGTCCCCTGGCCAGGAGGGCAATGCCTGTGCCAGGTGCTTGTGGCCGAGGGTGTCCCCTGGGTGCTGGGGCCCCCTTGGGCCCTGGGCTTGATCCCTCAGGGGCTGTAGGAACTGTGCCATGGCCTTTGCCTTCAGCTTGGCCTTTTGCTCATCCCTTGCTGCATTCAGCTGCTGAGCCTTTGTGAGCAAGTGCTGCAGGGGCTTCTTCTGGCCCTGCTGCAGCCCCCCTCAGTGCCTGGGGGTGCTCATCCTGTGGCAGCTGCTGAGCTTTCTGCAAAATCCTTCCTTTCTCCAGGGACCCACCAGGAAATGCTTAAAAGATCATGTGGATCCTTGCAGGTCTAATCCCCATTTCTGAGCTGTTCCTTCCTCGTGCTCGCTGTGCTGAGGCTCCCCTCCCCAGCCCGTATCCCAGAGCCGGTCCCTGTCCTGCCGCAGTGTCCAAAGGCGGCCCCCCCGGCGGGCAGGGCCGGCAGCTCCACGGGGCCGGGCAGCGGCCGGGGCGTCCCGCAGCCTCCTGGGGGCCGGGGGCCACTGCCGGCCCTGCCCGGGGGGTGCTGGGCTCAGGCAGCGCCCGGCGCTGAGCCCCGGCTGCCCCACAGCCCCGGCCCGGCCCCACAGCTCCCCACAGGCCCCCAGCCCGTGCTCCCGGTGCCGCAGCTCTGCGCCCGCTCCTGCCGCTCCCAGCTCAGAGAAACCCCCTGAAATCCTGACCTCCTTCTTTTCCTGGCCTGGAAAACTGGGATACAAAGGATCTGAGTCAGCTGGCAAATTCTGAGGATAAGACCCAATCCTCAGTATTTTTCTCTTCCTTCTCTTTTCCATCATAATTTTTCTTACCCCATAGATTGCTCCTGCTGCTTCTTGCCTTAAGCACATTCCTGCACACTCCCCTTCAGCCAATCCCTTCCCAGCACACCAACACCATCCATCCCCTGTTGTCTAAATCCCTTCTGGACTTCCCTTATTGCCCCCTGGGTGTCCATGTCCTTAATTCCCTCTGGGAGAATATGCAAATGACCTCCACATGCTCCCAAGGGACCCTTGAGAGATAATTTGGGGTCATCATCCCTTTTTCCAGGATGCCCCTCTGACAATCCATTTTCTCCCCTCAGTGGTCCCAGCTGGAGCCCAGCTGCGCCCCTCCC